CAAGACAGGATGACGTCAGCGTCAAAGCTTTCTCGTTCCAAAAACGGAGTCGAAAACAATCAAAAGGAAAAGAACGCAGATGAATTCCATCAAAGAACGTTCTTTGTGGGGTTTAAAGTGCGGAGGCAGTTGGGAGTTTTTCCTGTCGGGTAGGCCTTTCTTGCAGTATCGCGCTCTCTCTTGTTCTATGCCGCTATGCCGCCGTCGACAAGCAGGCGACAGTGTGCCGGGCGTGGTTTGTGAGCGCGTGCGTGTGTGTGTGTAAGTGTGGCCCCGGCCAAGTGACTTGATTGATAGACCGGGGTCATCTTGCAAGGTGGCCATCCTGTTTCCCCCTCCCAGTGTGTGGTTGCCAAAGCGCCCCCTCCCCTGCTCCCCCTCCCCCTTTTGTCCGGGAACGAGAGTCTCCGCTCGGGATAAATGAATCACCAGCGGGGAAAATAAAACGCCGTGCGTTCCAGGGTTTCCAGGGTTTCCAGGGCGGAGGGAGACGAGTCGCAGGGATGACTGCGGCGAGACGGCGCTGCTGGATGTCGCCGCGTTTCAGGGTTTCCAGGGTTTCCAGGGCGGAGGGAGACGAGTCGCAGGGATGACTGCGGTGAGACGGCGCTGCTGGATGTCGCCGCGTTTCAGGGTTTCCAGGGTTTCCAGGGCGGAGGGAGACGAGTCGCAGGGATGGCTGCGGTGAGACGGCGCTGCTCGATGTCGCCGCGTTTCCCGGAAAGCGGGAAAGCGGGAAGCGGAAGGTGGAAGCACGCGAGGGGCGGTCCAACGAATGAGCAGCGGGACGGCCAGGAGAACATCGTGAGCTCTCTCGCACTCGTGGCGCGTCCCGTTTGGGCGCGAGAGAGACAGGCCGACGTTACACGCCCAATCCCTTTGCACTCTTTGTGCGTAAGTTACGCCTTGTTTCGCACATGTGTGACTTAGGTACCAAAAGGTATCATCTGCTAAGAAGTGCACCAGGGTTTAGTGTGTAGGAAGGAGAGGGCGGAAGGAGGGAAGGCCGAGCGAAGCGTTTGATTGGTCGGAATATGGATTATCAGCGTGACTTGAGCTCGACCCCGTAATTTGGAAGTTAAATTAATCGACTTGGCAAATAGCTCACAGACCCCCTCGTCCCGTCACTGCCCTCTCCGCTCCTTTTGGGGGACGTCTCCTAATCTCTTCGGAGAAACTCCCGGCCGGCCGCTGGCCTTCGAGAGTCCGGCCTGCAGACCGAGAGTCGCTTTCGTCTCGCTGTCTCTCTCGCAATCACGGGGCGCCCGTTGTAGGTGCAAGGGAGACAGGGCGACGAAAACGACTCTCGGAATCAGTGTGCTGGCCAGGCCCTCTGGTCGGGCCTGGTGGCAGTGACAGCCAGGGCCATCCAGGGCAGCCAGCAGACCGATTCCGAGAGTCGTTTCCCTCGCTCTGTCTCTCTCCTACTCTACTCAAGGCGTGTCCGCTGTGGGTGCGAGAGAGACAGCGCGACGACTCTCGGCATCGGTCTGCCGGACCAGCCAGAGCCACCAAGGCAGCGGGAGCCGTCGCCGCCGTCGGTCTGTCGGCCGAGAAACTGAAATATATACTGCGCTGTGATTTTCTTCCCCTAAATGCAGTAAAAGAGAAAATAATGTCTCGCGCGGTGGATACCGACCGGAGAAAAGTCGGAAGCGGTCGAGACGAAATCCCCTCCGAGGTTCTTCCGCAGCACACAGGAATGAATAATAAAATAAACAACAACAAAAACCAACAAAATAAACAACAGAGGCGCAACTAAAAATATTGGAGAGGATCTGCTCACGCAGACTCACTCTGTCACCTCCCCCTCTCCACGAACCCACACACACGAGGCAACTTCGTTGAGCAATATTGTTAACTAGTGATGTGGGAGTGACCAACAAGGGCGGGCGTTTGACCCAACGCTAACAGATGAGAGGATTTGAATCTCATCACCACATCATTGTGGTGGGGCCCGACACGCTTTTACCAACACACACAAAAACACCCCATACCCCTCCCCCCCACTCACGCTCTCTCTCCACACACACACACACACACACACACACACACACACACACACACACACACCATACAATAATGGACCCGCTGGATGGCCAGTGACCTGGAACCAGGTAGCGAGAAATGTATATCACAGTTTTATTTATTATTTTCGTGCCACCTACTGTATGAAAACGGATAAAAACCGCTGCCCTTTACTTTGAGTAGTAAGAAGTTTTTTTTGCCGTTTTCGACGCACACGCGCCCACACTGCTGTAAAAGGGCAAGAGGCCGGCAAGAGGGAATGAAGCCCGTCGTCGAACTTGGCGATGCACTGCTGCGGCACTGTTTTTGAAGTTTGGCGTCCTCGTTGACGATGTTGTTGTTTTGGTCGCAGACGACGCGAGCACGTGGCGCGCCTTGCTCGGCCGAGGAAGCCAAAGGTGAGTCTGGTGTGTCGAGAGCGGTGCGCGGCCCAGCCAGGCCTTGATCCAGAGTGGGGGCAAGGACAGTTGCCCCCACCCCTTAACCACTAGACAGCCACTGGGAGGGCGAAAAGCAACACTCTGCCCCTCAAAGTGGGCAAAAGGTGCTGCTGCCCCCCTCGGGCTGGCCCTGGACCCGCCACTGCAGGCCAGTGGGCTCCGCGCGGACCGTGGGGCCGTGGGGGGCCTTAAGCCAGCAGGATGTCCGCAAAGCCAGGGCGACCTTGATGAACTCCGCCTGCCTCGCGAATGACCCCAAGTGGGTCCCCCCTTTCCCCTCCCCTTTCCCCTCCCCTTCGAGTGGCGCAGCGAACCGTCATCTGAAACAACGGGGATTACCGCTGCAAGCTACTTAGCCGCCCCATGCAAATCTGCGGTCATGTCGCACTAACGTCGCGTCGCGGCGTGCCTGGGCCGGCCTGTGGCGACGCGCGCCCAGCCGGGAAGGGCCAGGCTGGAGGTCTGTCTGCCTCTCTCTCTCTCTCTCTCTCTCTCTCTCTCTCACTCGCAGGGCGTCCCGTGTGGGAGTGAGAGAGACAGCGACGCGACGCCCCGCTCGGCATCAGCCCGCAGAGCGAGGCAGAGCGAGACGGAGCGAGGAGGCGATGTGGGTCATCCTGTGTCTACTAATAAGGGGGATCACGGACGGGCGGTCCGTTCCGTTGTCGTGGCCGCGATCAAGGGGGAACCGACTCGAGACAATCAATGTACGTCTAGTTGGTAACCAGAGAAAAATCCGACGTAATCACAATCATACTTGCGGAAAATCAATCACTTTTGACCGTGTTTGCGAGGTTACAGCTCTGGCCCCTGGCCTCAACTAGGTTGGACGCAGTGGCCAGGCCCTGGAAGTAGGCACGCAGGAGTCTGGCTGCGAACAGACGCAACCTAACCTGGCGCCTGCGGCGTGCCCCGCCGCGCGCGCGTGCGGTGCGGGCGGCCTACCCCCGACTCGGCGGGCGCTCGCCCAGGCAGGCGTCGAGGCGCTTCACGCCAAAGCTGCGACGTGATAGGCTGCGCTGCATCCCGTTCATCAGGCCGAGGACACTGTCGGACACTGTCACTCTTTAGTTTCAGTGTACGCGCGCTGAGGACTCCTCGGCGTCTCGACGGATGCTTCCTTTTATTGACGTTCTCAGTGGGAATTTCCGGTGGAGAGTGCTTCCGCTGTGGAGGTGTCGAGAAGCCGCGCCCCCCCCCCTCCCCCCCTCCCCCTCCCCTTTCTCTCTATCAGGACGAGGAGCGGCAGTGCTTTGGGCTCTGGTTTCCTGATGGTGTACCGCAAACTTTGTTGTTCGGAACGAACTGAAGATTGTAGTCTGGTGTAGTGCTCGGCCCGGCGTCCCAGCGTCCCAGCGTTCCAGCCCGGTCGGCCTGGCCGCTGCAGCTGTCGTTACAGGCACGGCCGCCCCGCCCCGCCCCGCCTTGCCGCGCCTCGCCCCTTCCCGCCCCGCCCCGGCATGCGGTGTTGCCAACACCGCCGCTCTAATGTTCTCCACGGCATTGCCCGGCATCGCCAACCTCGGCCACATTGGCAGGCACGGCAGGCGCGGCGGGAAGCACCACTGCGGAGCCTTTGGAAGCACTGGAAGCACTGGAAGCACTGGGCCGCGGACTAGGCGGCCACCTTGACGACCCTTACTCAAAACGAACCGTGCTGCCAAACTGCCCTTGAAAACGGCGCGGCAACAACAGGAAGGCCCGGCCGTCGTTCTCCGTGGTGGCGGTGGTGGCCGATTCCGTCGCTCTGTCTCTGTCGCACTCGGGGGGCGTCCCGCAGGCGTGCGAGAGAGACAGAGTGCCTCTTCGGAATCAACCTACCGGAATAACTCTCCAGCTAAGTGACTGTGTGACACCTGGCTCGGCTGGGCCGTGGAAACGAAGCGGACGCCTGCTTTGGTGCGCGTTAGTCGACGTCCTCAAGGCCGTGCAGGGGACGGGCCTTCTCAAAGGCGAGCCCCACGAGCCTTCTGAAAGGACGGGAACGGCCTTCCCAGAGAGCTGCGCACTGGGATGGGCGAGCCTCGTGCAGGTACACTCGCCTACCATACACCGGGTGCAGCCGCGTCGCTGGGATCCCGGCGCAGTCACCCGGGGAGCACGGTGCCCGCCCCTCCCCGCCCCGCCCCGCCTTCAAGGGCCCCGTCCGACCTAACTTGGATTCAACTTGGCAACAAATTGTGCATCTCATTTAGGAGTTGGCCGGGCAGGCAGCCGGGCCTCGGCCGGGCCGGCAGCCCAGCGACAAGTTGGGCGTGCAACAAATTCGCCGGTCTATTAGGGGGCCATTCACGGCCATGGCCTTTGGACCGGCGCGCCGAGCGCCGAGCGCCGAGCCGCGACAAACGGCCCTGATGGAAGTGTTTACCGGCGATCGCCTTGTTGACATGTGCATGGCTCTCCGTCGCGCTGCCGCGGGTCGTCTCGTGAGTGCGAGAGAGACGAGGCTACTTCAGCCGACTGCCGGCCGCGTCTCGCCGACGGGTAATGTTGATGAGGACAGGGGAATGTGTTAAAAAATCAGACTACCGCTTGAATATTTACCGATTTCAAGTATTTTATTAATAGTAAGTTGTATTTTTACTTATTCATACAATTCTTGGTCAAGAATCGTTCCAGTTCTCTTGCGGGAAAATATATAGGGATGTAGAACTCTTTTATTATTAATTACGGAAGTTGCCCATGAATCGCAGGAAACACAATCTGTATACAATTATCAAGAAATTTGGAACGACTCTTAGCCCTTAACAAATTCACAGTCAGTACTTAAAATGACACAACTTTGAAAAATATCCTTGGTAACTGGGAGGAGGAACAGGGCAAATAGGAGGAAATGCTGAGATAAAGGAATCCACAGAAGCAAACTGTACAAGCCAACATAAAGGAAAACAACAACAAATGCAATATTGGACTAGAATATACGCGAGTCGACCCCGCTACAAAATGACGGTCCGAAAGCGAAGGTTGGCGACCGGCTCGGTCGGCAACGCACTCGACGCACGTTTCAAACAAAAACAACAAATTAGTCTCCAACTAATCCATCACAAAGACATAGGCCAAAACCTAAAAGCAAGATGGCGGCGCTCGCAGTCACTCTCGGAGTGTTGCCGACGAGCGATATGCGAGACAGCGCACCAAGGGAGCCTCCCATCCTCAATTTGTTACTAACTGATAAGTAGAGGTGTCAACAAACGGAAAAAAAGGTTATCGGGCCGTAGAGCTGTCGTCTATCTCTGCGTCACGCATTCATTGATGCAATGCGTTCTCATTTTTCAGCAATAATTGCCTTTTGGCACGTTCTAGAGCGTCGTCATGCACACCGACGCACTCTCTGATGTAATCTTTGAAACAAAAACAACAACAAAAACAAAAAAGGTGGCCTGGCGAACGAAACTTTGTCGCCAAACGTCATCCTCCGAAACGATTGAAAAAGAAGCAAGAGTATTGTTTAATTTCTCATGATACTAATTTTCCAGAGCCGTGCAATTAAGTTTCTGGTGGACATTTCTTCCACTAATAGTAATGTTTTGCACTGAAATCTTACAATTTATGTTAATCACATTTCATAACAAATGCTACAACAAAAAGAAAGTAGTATTCAAAAGAAATATACCTTTTTACAGGAACCACTTAGACGCTACCCCCGATACATCCCTCCCCGCCGAGGGGGACCACGCAAGCAAGCGCCTCGCGAGGCATCTCTCTGTACAAAAATCCTTAGAGTATTATGTACAAATTTAAAATGACGGCAGAATTCCGAAAATGAAGTACAGAGCGTGATCTAAACTTTACTGCTTGGAGTAGCTTGACATTTATTTACAGGAAAGCGGTGCGCACGCTCGAACCAAAGTCCACACACACTCTGACATCCATGCACACACGCACACTCACTCACGCACACTCACACACTCACAGCAAGTCGATCGGCTGCATCCGCACTGACTAGAGAGCAGGGCTCCCGACGAAATGTCTGCATCTCCAAAACGGCGAGTCACAAACCACAAGATGACTTCATTTTCAATTTTCTTGCAAAAGTCGCCGTTTTCCGAGATGCAGACACCCAGCCCCACGCTTGAGACTTACTCAAAAGAATGTAAGTCACATTGACTCAACCTTTGTTTTTGACTAGAAATTCACAAAATACTTTTAAAGTTAAAAAAAAATCAACTGAAATTGTTTTAAATCCAATTTATAAAAAACAAAACAAAAAAACAAGTAAGTTTCCGTCGATTTGAATCCATTTCTTTCCAGAGTAAAGGGCATGGCGTTCACTCACACAGCCCCGCAGTGTTTGAGGGCCGCGGGCGATCGCCGAGCCCCGCACATATTGTTTGGCGGTCCGCTCCCCCCACCCCCTGCCGCCCCCCTGCCGCCCCGCGGCTCAGCGGCGGGATCAAGACAGCCAGAGAGGAACAAGTGACTCGTATATGACGCCGCTTTTTCCCTTGGCGGCCGAAATGCGGCTTTTGTTCTCAATTTCATCGCGCCGCTCCAATCACAATGCGCCGCGGCGGCGGATGGCTGCGGCCGAAAGACGAGATGGATGTGCCGCCACGCCGCCGCGCCGCGCGAGTTTGTTTGGCGGCATTTCCGGGAGCAACGCGGACTTGCCTTCGGGTTTATCTGTCCCTTTTATTGGAAAATTTGTGGCCGCTCCGTGCCGCACGCACGTTCGCGATTCGTGGTTTGACAGACTCGAGTCCGCCGGGAAGGAGGGTTCCCGACAGGCCTAGCGCGAAAAACATAAAAAATATAACAGCAACTTAAAGCGCCGTGTGTGAACAACCTCCACTGTCCGATCTGTGAGTCCCGCGCAACACTGTGCTGCCGTGAATCAGCAAGCGGCCAAAAACAAGGGGAGCGTCGAAATTAAAGTAAGACGAACTACACAGGTCGCTCTCGCTCTCTCGCACAGACACACACGACTCGCGCTTGCACACACACGCAGACTCTCCCTCCCACTCAATCATCCACACAGACGCACGCACGCACGCACACTCACACACGCCCACCTCGGCGTGCGCTGCACGCACAACGCCGCACAACGCCCCGCAGAGTGAGTAAAATGTCATCTTGTTGAGCACTAGGGCGTTGAGTTCGCACACGTCAATGTCAGCCGGTGCCTCGGCTGCCTCGGCTGCGCGTCGCTGCGCCGCGGGTCCGCCGGGCGGGCGGTCTCTCCCTGTGCGGCACAGTGTGCGGCCTGTCCCCGCGAATAGCGGGGCATCCTCTTCCTCTGCCTCTTCCAGTCTTGTCTAGTTCTCCTCGCCGTCCCCGCCGCGGGGTGCGCCGCCCTGCTCCGCCGTCTTGGCCGTCAACGTCGTCTTCGTCTCCTCACACTAGGTGTCCTGCAAGTCCCTCGGCTTGCCTAAGCACTATCACCACACTGTCGCCACCGCGACCACTGCCGCACCAGCGCCGCACCAGCGCCGCACCAGCGCCGCACTGGCGCCAAGTCCGCGGGCACACTGTCGCGGTGGCGGTGCGGCCGTTCAGGCCTTATAGGCCGGCGAAGGCCAGCAGGTTGTGCAGGGCCGTGAGCAGCACGACGGCGGCGCAGGTCTGCCGCGCCGACAGCAGCGAGCGCAGCCCCAGCCCCACGGACATGTGGCCCCACCAGCGGCCGGGGATGGGCGAGGCGCTGTTCTTGCCGCGCTGCATGGCGGCCGGGTGCTCCCCTGCAACAACAAGCAGGCCGTCAGCACGCCGTCGTCGGCACGCTCGCTCCACAGTGGATTTGCCAGAAGACCGGCGGAGGCGGCAAAAACTCGAGACGCGTTTTGAGCTCCAGAGTCGCCAAACATGACTCGAACCTACGTGTGACCCCACCAATGGATTCCTCGTTCGGAGAGCAATCCATTGGTGGGGTCACACGTTCGATTCGAGTCCTATTTAGCAACGCTAGAGATCAAAACCCGTCCGGGATTTTGACCGCCTCCTCCGGTCTTCTGCAGGCCACTGTGCTCCATCAACGACAAGAAGCTCACCGTTGAGGACGTGCAGCAGCACGCTGGCCGAGTCCAGGTTGCTCGGCGAGCAGGTGTAGTTGCCGGAGTCCTCCCTGGTGGCGCCGTACAGCACCAGCGTGCCCACGGTCGTGTCCGTGCCCGAGCGCTCCACGCGGATGTCCTTGGTGCCCGGCTTGTAGTTGAGCACGCGCTCGCCGTCGTGGTACCAGAAGATGTAGGCCGGCTCCTCCAGCGACTGGGTGATGACGCACTTGAGGTTCACCGTTGACCCCGTCTTGACGTAGATGTCGGACGCGCCCATGATCTCGATCTTCGGCACTGCGGACAGAGAGGATGCACAACGATGCATTGCATTATCAACACAACTCAGAGAGAAAGAGAAAGAGAGAGAGAGAGAGAGAGAGAGAGAGAGAGAGAGAGAGAGAGAGAGAGAGAGAGAGAGAGAGAGAGAGAGAGAGCGCAATCGATAAAAGACGAAACGCGCCGAGGCCTTGGCGAGATGAAGCTCTGCTCTGGCCTCGCATGTCAACATCCCATCTCGCACCACAATCCTCCCACAACTCAATTTCCGATAAATGAAGCCCCGCGACTTCAAAGAGGCCCCAATTCACGGGTTCCCTCTTCTTGGTGGTTCCTCCCGACCGGTCTCTCTTTCCCTCTCTGTCGCTCTCTCTGTCGCTCTGGTCCAAAAGTTTGGCCTCGCACGCGTCTGCTGGCAACGATAGCAGATTGCAGCGCCGACTTCGAACGCGGCACGCGGCGCCACGGCCATGCCACGCCATGCCACGGCGCCAACGAGACTGCGCCGCGCCTTCTTAGTTAGGGAGATGGCCGATAGGGGCGCTGCTGTGCTGCGGCCCCAAGTTTGGCGGGCGTCAAAGAGGCCGTGAGCCTGCCCGAAGCAGACCCGCCCGGCCCGCCAGACCACAGGCGGATCAATGCGAAAACGGATTAAGTTTGGAACACGCACTGCTGGCTGCGCTGGCTGCGCTGGCTGCTCGGGCGGGGCGGCGGCCGCGACGACGCGCCGTCTGCTGGCTGCTCGGTCTGCCCGGCAACAAGCTGCCGCGCGGCCGTGCCGTGGTGCGTGTACTGCGTGTACTGCTATCTGACCCGAGCACTATCTAAAAGTTGTCCGCTGTAGAGCCAGCGGCGTAGCGGCGTTGGCGAACGGGGCGCCAATATGTAAGGGGCGGGGGCGGGGTGTAACAACACAAAGCGGCAAAGCACCTCGACGCCGCCAGCCGCGGCCTTCCCGCCATCGAAGCGGACGGACCGTTCCGACTCATCTCTCCGCCATCCCACAAGCCGCGTGTTGACGCGGTGGTTAGGTTAGGCTCGTTTTGTCGCGATGCGTGACTCGGCGCGTTAGAGTCCCAAAGACTGACACCCTCGTTCACCGTTCTTAATGAGCAACAAGGACAGAGCTGTGGCGTTACGTAATTTGTGGCGAGGCAGGGAGGGTCGGCGCGTGCTGGGGCCTGGCTGGGGGCCTGGCCGGCTTGGCCCGAGTGGTGGGCTGCAGGTGCAGAGAGGGTGGGGACGGCCCGGGTGGGTCCAGGGACGGGTCCAGGGGGCTGAGCCCAAACAGGTCGGCCTGCTAGGTCTGCGAGGTCACGGAGGGCAAGTGGCTGCTAAGCACCCTGCCGCCCCCTCCGCCGCCCCTCCGCCGCCCCCTGCCACGGCGTCGGGCCCCTCCCGGTGCCGCTCCTTGAAAAAGCTCAAGACAAATGAAGCGAGTGCCACAGTCAGGCCACGCCGCGCCACGCCACGCGCGGCGCAGGTGAAGATGGGCGTGACTTTTCACTTAGCGTCCCCCTCCCTTACCCCTCCCTTCCCCCTCCCCTCCCCTCCCCTCCCCCCGCCCCTTCGCCCGCCCCACTGTTTTTCAAAAGCAAAAGTTTCGGAAAGGAAAGGAGGCTCTGTAATTTCAACCAACAACAACAACAAGTTACGGCGAGTTGGCGGGTTTTCGGCGAAGACTATGCGGGAGTCCGAGACGTCGACCTTCGATGGAATTAAAGGGAAAATGATGAGCCTTTTCGTGCCTCGGGAGCGCCGAGCAAGGCGAGGCAGGGCGAGGCACGGCGATCGACTTCCGATTAAAATCATTCCACCGAAAAGTGCACGGTCGCTTTCATGCAGGTGCTTTTAGTCGTGTTCAGAATTTTTTTTTTTTGGCGTTGCCTGCCGCGTCCCGGGCGTTCCCAGGCATTCGCCTCATTGCGGCTCAAACCCCACAGACTAATTTGGCACGGCCGCCCTGATCCCCACCTTGCATTGCGGCGCTACGATCGCGGCTTGAAATCCAGGGATTACTCACACACACACACACACGCACACCATGGCGTTTTTTCTCCCTCCCTTCCCCGTGTTTTGTTCTGCTCCAAGCAACAGTGTGGCACTCATGCAAGGTGACCACCCCCGGCAAGGTCGGTGGCGGTAGGCGGCCGGGCCGGAGAGAGGTTCCGAAGGGTGGCGTCCTTTTATCGCTCCGTCTCTCTCGCACTCCGACGGGACGCCACACGAGTGCGAGAGAGACGGAGCGACCTGCCGCGCGCTCGGTGTCGGCCTTTTGTACTTTGTACTGCGTTGCGTGGTTTATAAGCCCGGAGGTGTTTCGCTTCGGGGCTGCTCTGGAAAAAGGCGAGGGAGAGGAGGGGGAAGGAATTGCATGGCGCGGCGTGGCGTGGCGCGGCGTGGCGTGGCCCCTTCCTGAATTACCCCTTACTCCCTAAATTACGCCTCGTAGGAGGCGAGGGTTTGCTGGTTGGAAATTCTCGACAACTTGAGTCGCTTTTGTTTTTTTCCCCTGCCCAGTTTGTTCTAGTTCTTTCTCTCTCTGGCCGATGCTCGTCCCGCGTCCTTGTCGCTCTCCGTTCCAAAGTGCGCACCGCTACTGCTTTTTGTCTGGACGTCTCCATATACTTCTTGTCCGGCAAGGCATGGCAAGGCGAGGCACTGCTTGGTTGGCCTCGCCTACACTGACAGCGCGCTGGCAGCACACTGGCAACGGCCTTGGATGCACCGCCTTGCAGAGGCACCGCCCCCACCCGCCGTCGTCCCGTCGCTCCACCTCCCTCGCACCTGGACGGGCCGCCCCACGAGTGCGAGAGAGAGCGAGCGAGCGAGCGAGCGTTGAAAGCGCTGCCTCTCCTCCGCGTTCCGCCTGGGAAAGGATTCCCTTCCCAATTACTGGGAAAGGACAGGTCCGCCGGCCGCGGTGCGTCCACTGCGAGTTGCCCGCGGCAGTGGCCCTCCAGTGACGTGGCTTGCAGTACTGTGGCTTGCAGTGCCGTGCCGTCTTTCGCCGAACGCGACCCGCGCGACATATTTCCGGAAGAGGGGACTCGGTTAAGAGGAAGGAGTCGAAAAACACGCGGACGCGGACGTATCCAGCCGGTCCGTTTGTTCGGCTAGTTTTTCGTGGCCACAAAGGACTGGCGGGGCGCACCGGGCACCGGGGAGCCGGAGAGAGAGAGAGAGAGAGAGAGAGAGAGAGAGAGAGAGAGAGAGAGAGAGAGAGAGAGAGAGAGAGAGAGAGAGAGAGAGAGAGAAGAAAGAAAAAAGACAGTAGGATGTTGCCAGAGCGGATCGACGCGGCCACCCATCATGGCCAAGGGTTGGTCCTTGGCCCACCACGTTCCGCCCGCCCCGCCCCTCCCCGCCCCGCGCTGCCACACCACCCCTCAAGCGCCCCGCTCAGCCCACAGCAGATTCACACACCGCGATCACAACGGTCAAGAAAGTACAGGAGGCTGGCGTTACGAAACAACAGCTAAGACACGCCATGCACTGTGTTTACTTCGGTTTACTTCCAAAAAAGGCTCAAAAGAGATTTTTTTTCAATTTTTTTCAAAATTTTTTCAACAATTTGGAGTGAAATTTTTCGCAGGTAAGCCCTACGACACATTTCGTTTATCACTAGGGGAATAATAGGTTTTCTTACGAAAGGTGTACCGAGATTTTGTCTTCGACATGTAAGTGACTGACAGTGGGCAAGTGATTACCGGCCGTGGAGGCAGGGCCTTAGGCAGGCAGGGCTTCAGGTAGCGCCACCTGGAGTCCAGGCCTAGACGCGACATCAGGTGCGAGGCCGGGCGGGGCGGGGCGGGGCGGGCCGATGCATTCCACTGCGCCGCTGCCTCCCCCTGTTTCTCTGCCCCGGCCGTCCCGGCCGTCCAGGCGACGGACCCTGGCCCCGACACGCTCTGTCCCCAAACAGGGCCGTCTTTTTTAACGTATCAATCAATCAATATGGGCCACCCCGCGGTTTTTGTGTCGCCCCGCGTCCACGCACACACACATGCACGCACGCGCACACCGTCGCGCCAGCGACCCACACCCACACAAGAATGATGGTGGTCAGTTTTTTGAGCGGGCTTGTCGCCATTTTTCATCCCTGCCCCCCTCCAGTGTCTTGCCTCGGATCGGGCGGCGGCGGTGTCGCTCGGCTCCTCCCGCGCATTCTTGGCCGCGGCGGCGCGGCGGCGCGACAGCTTAATCTGCACGATAATGCATCATTTGGCGGCATTTTGGCCGGAGGCGCAAAAACCAGAGCCTTCTTTCTGCGGCCAAGTTGATACACGCGGCCGGAGGAAAGCGGAGGAAGTCTTTGTTTTGGAGACGTGCACGCCTTTGGGGCTGCGCAGCTCAAACAAGACTGGAACGAGACACGATATGGTACCGTTCGATTCGGTTCGATTTCTCGGATTAATTCGGATTCCTTCGATTAATCGGAGGTCCGGCTCGAACGCTAAAGGTCTGCTGAGGCCTAACAGCGCCGATGACGATGACGTGGAAGCGAGCGCTGCGTCGTGTCCGCCTGCGGGCTCCGGGATAGGCAACCCTCTGCGCCGAGCGCGCGGCTGTCCGGCGGGCTGGCCTACTCTGGGTTCCGCGGGCGCGCGGGCTCTGCACTCGGCAGGCGGACCGTAAACACTCCACGCGTTTTGGACTCCACAGTCCTCGAACAGGATTCCAGTGGTGGTACGAATGGACTCCTCCGTTTGAGTGCCAGACTCCTATTCCAGGAGTGCTGTGGCGTGCCCGGGGCGGCGTCCACCTTCCAGCCCGCCTCCTGCGCGTCCTGCGCGTCCTGCTCGTGTGCCCATAAGCACCGCCGGCCGGCCGGCCTGCTCCTCCGGAGGAAACTTTGAAAAGCGGCACGGCGGCACTGAGGCACTGATTATGCTGCCAAGGACACACCAGGCAGGCAGCCAGGCAGGCAGGCAGACAGGCAGGCAGGCAGCCAGCCGCCCGGAGCCCCGCTGCCGCCACTGCCGGTCAATTTGGTGTCCCTTTGAAGTCACAGCCTTCCAATCACGCTGAAAAGTAGTAACGCCGGCAGCAGGCAAGCAGGCTGGCTGGCTGGCTGGCGGCGCGGCCGGGGCGCGGCCTCCACCACCGTAATAAGCCCATATTACGGGAATATTCGCGTCTAACGAGCCCCTTTCAACTAGACAAAACTGCAGCGCGGATCCACCCCCCGCCTAATCTGCTCCGCCTTAACGAGTGTGTTAACCCTTTTCGGAGTTGGCCGCCTTCTAATTCTAATGCGGGCCCTAGTTTGAGAAACTTGGGCAACTCTTTTCCGCGTCCACTTTGGACGGCGCCGGGTCGTCCATCCTTGCGAGGCAACGAGTGGAAAGTTTGATTTTCCATTTTCGCCGTCGCGTGCGTGCGTGCGTGGGTGGGGGAGGGAAGAAGGGCTGCTTAGAGTGTACTCACCAACGACGTTGAGTGTGACGAAGTGGCTCATCTTTGGCTCCGTGCTCACTTGACACTCGTACTCCCCCTGGTCTCTCGCCTGGACGTATTTAACCTGGGAACGAGATCCTTGCTTTAGCAGAGCATACTTTCATCGGTCTTAAAAATAAAACGAAGGTCCAATCGACTCTAAATGTCATTAGACTCTAAATGTCTCATGGTAAAAGGCTTTTTCGCCATAACATGGGAAAGTTTTACCATAATACTCTTAGAGTGCAAGTACCGAACAAATTTCTAGTCAAACGACCGGCAACGTGCATAGATTTGTTCAGGTCTCTTTAACTCACCTGTAGTGTCCACGTCTCCGTGCCTTCGACGAGGAAGCTCTGAAACCGTTCATCGGCGATGAACGTGTAGTGGTCCACGGTGAGGATGTGGGCGTCCCTCTTCCGGATCCAGGAGACCTGCAACAGCAGACAGGCGGCCGTCAGCGCGTCAGTCAGAAGGCGCCACCAGCACAGCGCGCCGCAGCCTTGGCCACAGCTGCGCCGAGGCCGCGCGGAGCAAGGCCACGCCCCTTTGGGGTCCGTAGACCGTGCGAGTTTACGTCCGGGGGAACAGCACTGCACTGTAAACAAATTAAACGGCGCTGCCGACGCGCTGCACCGCAGTCTTTCCGGCGGATCGCAGCATGATGGCGACCTTTCGCTCCGCTCTGCCTGGCCCTGCCTGGCCCTGCCTCGCTCGGGGACCTTTCCCGTCGGATTTGGCACCTCCACAGGTGGCGCGCCGTCCCACTGGGAAACCCCACGACGCGGAAAAAAAAGGGGTGAGTAAAAGTTTAAAATGGCACTAAACTCCGGACTGGCTGCGAGTGTGGCTGCACTCTCATTTGGAGCGAGGAGGAGGCTGCACGCGGCAACAGTAAATACCGTGAAAATTTCACGAGCAAAATCACGTCACGAACGGGAACACACGCTCTCTCTCTCTCTCTCTCTCTCTCTCTCTCTCTCTCTCTCTCTCTCTCTCTCTCTCTCTCCCCCACTCACACACACACACACACACACACACACACACATACGCGAGGCCTGTGCGGAGCCCGTTAGCGAGGGCGGGGCTTTGTTAAGGGGCCCCAGCAAGGGTGGACTGGAGGAGGGGCCGGGCACCTTGGAGAAAAAAAAGGGGGAGGGGGAGGGGAGGGGAGGGAGAGTGGCTAACCGGATGAATGAAAGTTTCAGGTAACAGATGGTGAATAAAATAAGGAAGGGGCCTTGCCGGGCGTGCGGTGTGGGCCTGTGGGCCTGTGGGCCCGAGGGCCGATTGGGAGGTCTCATGCGTCGTCCTGGGCGGGGCGGGGCGGGGCAACCAGCGGCGGTAAAGCTTGTGCTTCTTCCTGGGCCGCTGTTGCCGGGCGCTTGGCTTTTACTCATTATTTCCAAGCAGGATCATTAAGCCTGCCCGCAGGACGGCTCCAGGATGCCGGCGGCGGGCGAGGCCAAGGGCGAGGCCAAGGGCGAGGCAACCAGGCTGCGGGTTCGGCGGTTCAGGCGGCAGCACTCCAGCGGGGCGAAGGGGCGCGGCCTCCCGATACACACTGTAGTATTTCTGCGCATCGCACGGTCCAGTGGCTCTGTGATTTACCAGCACACGCCGCCACGCCCGCACCAAGGTCCAGCCCAGTGCGCACGAGGCGGGCCGCGCCGCGCCGGGCCGAGCGCAGGTGGCCCCGCCCGACCCGAGGGGTCTCCGGCCTGCCAGAGCGCCAGAGCGCCAGAGCCGCCAGAGCTCGGCATGCGCGCCGCGTGAGACAATAATAAAATCGCCACCTGTGGAGATGAGAGCCCCACGCACCGCGTATCCAGGGCGCCACTTTCGCGAGCACGCCGCCTCGCCGCCTCGCCGCCTCGCCGCCTCACGCAAAGCCGAGCCACGAGCGCTCCGGCGGCGCGCGGGCTTTCGTTTTCGTTCTCCGCCACTGCAAACGCCTCGAGCGCCGCGGGCTGGGCCAGACGTTGTTTTGGCCCCGCGGTGCTCGCGATGCTCGCGATGCTCGCGATGCTCGCGACGCACGCAGGGATTCGCACCTCGCCGAATACGTATGAATCCCTCCCAGGGACGGAGAGGAGCGAGGGAAGCGACGCGACTTCGGCCCGCTCATGCATACTATCACGGGCCGGGCCCCAGTCCGCGCCCCGCCCCGCCCCGCCCCGCCCCGCCCCGCAGCGCACTCCCTGTGCGGGCACCGTAAAATAGGAGGGTCCTCCATCCACACAGTTTCAATGTCCGCCCGGCCGCCACGGCGCGCCACTGGAGGAGGACGAGTCCCCCCAATCTCCTCGCCGTCGCCTCGCCGCCTCGCCTCACGCACTCCTCATATGTGGCATCCTCTGTATCTAAATCTTTCTTTCTCTCATATGTGGCCCCCGAGCCCGGATGGCCCTCGGGAGCCTCTCGGAGCCTCTGGAGCGTCGTGAGGGTCGCCGGGGCGGGGCGGGGCGCGCGCCGGACAGTGTTTATAGAGGCAGCGAGTTGCCGCCGGGGGAGTGCAATACTGTGGGCCGTGCCAATAAGACGGTCATCCGCTATCCGCACCACGGCCGACGTGGCGCCGCGATCCGGCCAGGCAGCCGCCCAGCCCCGGCCGTGTTGACTGAACCCACAACACTCTGCCCGGGCCGTGTTTAGACGGACCGCAAAGTCGGGCCAAACGTCGACAAACGTCTGAGAATCGTGATTTGCGATGACATTGCGCTGCGTTCGGCCCAAGCAGGGAAGTGGTACATCCTCTACGGAATATAGTGGTCCGTGCACCTTCCTTTGGTATTCTGCTGCGTGGTTTTCTTCCGACAGGGAGGGAGTGTGTGATGTGCGGCACGGCCTTCTGGCGTGGCGTCGTTTAGCGGCGGTCCCTTTATACTGCCGGGCGGCAGGGCTAGTGCAGGGCCAGCGGCCCGCTGCCGGGGCAGCGCCAGGACGGGGACCTACCTCACCGCGCGGACGGGCGGCTGGCTGCTGTCCTTATCTCTGGCTCAGAGCGGCCAGACTCATATCCGGGCGACAAGGCCGGACACACACACACACACACAGGGAGAGGCGCGCGTGGCGAAAGGGATCCAAAGGGTGGCGGAAAGAAAGAGGAGGGGGGGTGCTTTGGGTCCGGGTCGGGTCGTCACCTCTGTCAACCTGGCCAGGGCGGCGAGGGTGCCTGGTTGGGGGCCCGCTAGGGGCCGAGCGCCGGGGCCGGGGTTTTGACGCGTGACTTGCAATTAGGCACTTTCCACCGCGCGTTCCTATTTTTTGTTTGTTTGTTGTTGTTTTTTTTTCGGAGGGGGCACGACGCGCGAAACAAACGGGAACAGCAATTCTGACGTAAAAGCCCCGCGGATTGCCATTAACGCTGCGTGAGTGCCGACGCGCCAGCCAGCCAGCGCCGCGAGTATGAGTCAACATTACCAACGCACGGCCGGGAAATATTGCCGCTCGAATAAAACGAACGCCAGAAACACATTGACAAGTCGAGAGAGAGGGAAGCGAGCGGGGCGAATTAAAAAGAAACACTCGTCACGTCCCGGGCTGCCTGCCGGGCCTCACGTCACGCCGCCGCCGCCGCCGCTCACTCACTGTCGCGCGCGCCCCATGCTTTTGTTGCGCCGCGCAATATTTCTCATAAAAACAAATGAAGCGAGTGAACGAACGGAACGGGAGCGGCGAACGCGGCGAGCGCGGCGCGCGCCGGAAGGTTCGAACGTGCGAAAACATGTTGCGCCGCGTAACGGGGACCGCGGAGAGTAAACATTGTGCTTCGGTTTGGGTGTGGGTGACTGACGGCCTCACGGCCCACTGCCTAAAGTGGGCCAGAAGGCCGGCGGAGGCGGCCGAAATTAGAGACGCGTAGCTCCAGAGTCGCTACGTCATGAGCCGAGATACAAAAGTTATGCGACGACGGAGCCCAAACTTCAGTTCAAGATTGGGGTCATCCTCATGCATAACTTCTCTACCTCCAGCCGTTTACGATATTCAGAAATAACGTTGGAAAGTGTAATGTTTGCACGCCGCGGGCGGGCCGGCCGGGCCGCGGCGCCGCGGCGCGCTGCTGCCACGAAATTGAGCTGAATCGTCCTCGATCGTCCTCAAATATGACTCAAATCAAACACGGTACCGATGGCTGCCTCGTTTGCAGGGCGATCCATTGGCGGGGTCGCGTGTTTGGCTGGTGACCTGTTTGCGCTCTATCGAACTGGAACACGCACCCCGCGCCAAGTTTGCGCGCGACCGGCCGAATGAGCACGCGGTCTTCGCTGCGCGCACGCCTGCCTGCCTGCCTGCTTACTGTCGAATAATGATTCCGACTCGCACATTCTGCTGGCCAATGGCGACACATTTCGGCAGCGTGGCAGCTGCGGCGGTGTCGGTGGCGCGTGAAGCGGCGGTCGGGGCGGGGCGGGGCGGGGCTGGCGGGCGGGGCGGGGCGGGGCGGGGCGGGGCTCGGGGCGCTTCTGCTGCACGGAATAAACAAACAATGCAGTCAGCACCAAGCTCATTAACCCTGCACGGCCCCCCGAGCCCCTCGCGGTAAATCCGGCCCACTGTCCATGCCAAACAAAAATGTCTAGTTTGGTTTGCTCGGCCCGGCCCGGCCCGGCTTGGATCGGCTCGGCTCGGCCCGGCTGTGCTGGGCTCGGCTCGTGGAAAAGCAAACAGCGCGCACCACCGCCTTTTTTCTTTTTTCCTTTTTTTTGCCGCCCCACAAAGCCTGGTGCGCGACCTCGCGCGCCACCACTACAGCTCGGACACGGTTTTGTTTTGATCCGGGCGGGAAAAAGCGACGAGTGACGGAGAGGCCTGGGGGGTGGGGGGGGTGGGGGACAATGGGGTGCAGCGGGAAGTAGTTGTGCGGTGTCCGGGGGGAGGGGACGGGAGTATTTGCGGGGAACACAGCCTCGCAATAAGTCGGACTCATCACTCGACGAGCAGACAAACTTTGATGGGACTCAAAACTTTTCATTCGCCGCGCGACCCAGCCATCATTAGCCCGGGAGCGAGCGGGCGAGCGAGTGTGAGAAAGAGAGAGAACGATCGAGAGAGAGAGAGAGAGAGAGAGAGAGAGAGAGAGAGAGAGAGAGAGAGAGAGAGAGAGAGAGAGAGAGAGAGAGAGAGAGAGAGAGAGAGAGAGAGAGCAGCGCTGCTGGGGGCCTCCACCTCTCAGAGTCATGACTCCCTTAAGTGCGAGCATGGAGCAAGGGGCAAGGATGGCGTGAGGGGGGGGGTAAAGCAAAGACACATCTCGCTGGGAAATGAGGCGAAAGTAGTGCGAATGAGAGAGGAAGAGGGAGCACAAAGCGACACGGCGCCGTCGGACACTGCAGAGCTCTCAAACGCATCGTTCAGGCCGTCAGGATGACAAGTGGGCCTCCCTGCGAGTTGCTTATGTTAACGAGGAGCCTGCAGTCGGAGGGGCGCTGCTACACCGTTAGCCGTCCGGAGCCGACGCGGCCGCGATCGAGCTCGACGCTCTCCAAATCTGTGAGACCCGCACGCTGATGATGGAATCATTGGACTCCAGGAATCCATTCCTACGACCACGAGATTGGGTCGAGCTCCAAACGCGTGGTGTTTTTGGTCCGCCTTTCCTCCCGGTGCAGAGCCCGCGCGCCCGCGGATCCCAGGGTAGGCCAGCCCGCCACACAGTGGTGCGCTCGGCGCTGTGTGTTGCCTACCCCGGAAGCCGCAGGCGGACACGGCTCTGCGCTCGCCACTGCTCGACTCGAATCCTCCATTCAGGGACTCGCAATCTTGAAAGCTGTTCCAGGCCGTCCGCCCAAGCTGGTCCTCTGGCCCGCGTCGGCGTTGAGACGAGACGGTCCGGGGTTCGAGTACCGACACCGGCGCCGCCCGCCGCTTCTCTCGAGTGCGAAATTATTCGAGTCATGCCGTGGCGTGTGACTCACCAGACTCACGCAGCACTGCGCAGCACTGCGCAGCACGGCATGTCGGCGTGCGAGGCATAAGTGTCGACCATATTTCAGTCTCTCTATAGGCCGCGCCGTGCGTGCCGCGCCGTGACGAGCAGACGGCCTCGCGACGCCGCCTCGTCCCGGGGCCTGTTACTCTGTGCTCTGTTAGCACAGTCGGTACCGGAGTGCGCCTCGCCCGCCGCCTCCCACGAGTGCGCTCCGGAGCAGGCGGAGCAGGCGGAGCGAGCCGCCTGGGAAGTAGGCGGGGCGGGGCCCGGGCCGACCGAGGCCTCCGGGTAACGACCGCCACTTCCCGCTCGCTCGCCGCCAACACCGCGTTGCGCGTTGGGCCCTACACTGTGCACGGCCAGGAGAGTCCTTGTCGTCGCCCTGTCTCTCTCTCTCACTCACGGGGCGACCCTTGTCGTAGGTGGAAGAGAGACAGGATGACGAAACCGACTCTCGGAATCGGTGTACAGCGACAGGTAAAAAGCAGCCATGCAGAGCCATCACTTGACTTGCCCGTGCTAATGAACGGACCGGAGCTCAGTGTGATCCACGCACGCGTCCCCCCCCCCTTCCAGCTCCTGAGGGCGGTAATCCCTGCCCTCATCCCGGCGGCCCGGCGGCCCTGGCGGTCGTGGAAGAAGGGATGCCGAGGGATCTGGTAATAAGAGGGACGCCGAGGGCCTTGTTCTGCCTGCCGTGCTGCCGTGCGCTGAAAACTCCGCCGCAAACACTCTCGCCTGGGGCGCGCGGGGAGGAGGGGGGGAAGGGGGCGGGATGAAATTTCATTACTATACAGGGCGACACCTTGTGACGACAGCGAGGCCGCGATGATCCTCGCGAAGAACGGGGTCAGGGTGGCGGAGAACGCGGCAGCGCGGCAAGGACCCAGTCTCGCGTCGCGGGGCGGGGCGGGGCGCGCTGCCATGCGCTTCGATTACGTACTGTACACTGTGCGCCTTGACGTACACGGGCATTCCTGCGGGGAGAGAGGGGGGGGGGCTCTCAGGTGCTCCGAGCAACACGAGCAGGGGAGCCCCCCGCCCCCTCCGCCCCGAGGGCGTCCCGGGCCTCCCCGCCCACGCCCACGGCCGGCCCGGCGCTGCTGATGTAGTTACCCGGCATGTTAACGAGAAGCCGGCGCGACGCGCGACGCCACGACGTGGACCTGGCCGGACGCCCGCCGACAGTGTGCTTCCCTCTCGCACTCGCCGGGTGCGGCAGAGACAGCGCGACAGAAACGGCCCCTTGTTCGGAATCAGCCTGCAGATAGTTGATTTAGCGGGGTAGTTTATTCGGAAAGTGAAAGTGGCGAACGAGAGCGGCAGCGGCGACCCGGGTGGGGGGCGTAGTCGCCGGGGCGGGGCGGGGCCCGGCGGGCCGGGCGGGGCGGCAGGAAGGGAAGAACGCGAGATAAATGCCTTACAGAGATGGAGCGATAACGATAAATCATTTATAGCCGTCTCAGCGAAAGCGCGCGCCGCCCCAATCGCCAAATAATGTTTACAACGCCGACAGCGCCGCGGAGTCCGGCGGCATTAATGAGCGCGTTTTCGTTTGTGCTTCACACCCCGCCTCCCCCCGGCGTGTCAGTTTTTTACGCTTTTTCCGTCGCCATGAGCCGCGGGGAGGGGCAAGGGAGGGGGACACACGTGATGTGTTGGGGAGTGGCTGAGGGAAAAAGTTTGTCCACTCCGGGGTGTGGCGGCGGTGTATTGATTTGCGAGGACCTAGGTGGGGACGGCGCGGCACCGCACCGGGCACGGCGCGGCACGGCGCGGCACGGAGCCCTAACCTACTTCAGCCTGGAATCATTCGTCCAAATGGAGTGGACCGACCGAATGAGGCCAGAGCAGCTCGCCAGCACTCCCAGATTGTGGCGAAAGAAAACGCAGGGCGGTCCCGTCTCTGTCGCACGGCCGCGCGCCGCGAGTGCGACAGAGACAGAGCGAGGGCACGGCTCGGGATCGGGCCGCAGGGTCGCCGTGGTCATGTTCGGCAGTCCCCGTCCCGTACGCGGCGCTCTGGGTGGTCCGTCTCCAAACAGTGGCGCTGTCTCTCTCACGCCTGCGGGACCGCGCGGCCCAGAATCAGGCCGCCGCGTCGAGCCGCGTCGAGCCTTCTCGGGTGATGCCGCTAATCCCTTCCACGAATCGGGGATGCGCGCCAAAGGGGGCTCGCGTAGCGTAGCGTGGCGTGGCCGAGCGTAGCGTAACAACAGGCCGAGAGTTAATGCCTCGCGTCACAATGGGTCGCGACGAGGTGACGTGACACGCCGCCGACGCCCCGGGGACGAGCGGACGGACAGGCAGACAGACAGACGGAGCGCGGCGGGGTAAAGGGACGACCCATGTGCATGAATAAAAGACAACTCGCGCTCTCGCTTTGGGAGGGATGATGTTCGCGCGAGACGCACAGCTGTAGGGCTTCATCGGGATCAGCACACACACACACACACACACACACACACACACACACACACGCACGCACGCAAACCTGAGCGAGTGGTGGCGTAGTGCACGCGCGTAGTTGTGGCGCCTTCTTCATCGAAGTGAGTTGTGCTCCCCGTTCGCCAACAAGTAGCGCGTCGAGTTTCACCTGGCCTTCCCCGCCCCGCCCCGCCCCGCCCCGCCCCAGCATGTATCGGTCGGGAGTAAATAATGACACTGATGGAAGATTGATCGCTCCCCTCCCCCTCCCCGCGGAGACGCGCGTCGTACAGTGGCCACCTGGTACCGACTTGACGCTCTATTTGGCGCCGAAGCGCGTGCGGGAAACGACCCCGGTCATCATTTTGCGATCAACAAAACAATAAAAAAACACACACGAAACACATCTGTCCATTTTTTTTCCGAGGTGTACTCACCGACTTGTTGCCCAGCTGTTTGACCTTGCACGGCAGATAGGCGTGCGTCCCGAGCTGCGTCGTGATGTTGTTGGGGGACGTGGGGTCGAAGAAGGGCCCGGTGTACAGGCCGCCCGTCGAGTACCGCTTGTGTCTGTCCAGCGACCGACCCAGGGCCCGCTCGGCCGGGCTGGCCAGCGTGCCCGCTGAAACACCAAAAAACAAACAGTCAGTCAGCGGCCGACACGCCGACAAGCAGACAACCTCTCTCTTCTTTTGCCTCGCCGGCCTCGCTCCGAGTCCGATGGCCGGCGAGCAAGGCGAGCAACATTCTGCCTGTTCGAGACCACTCGTCCGTGGCGCGGCCGCGCGCCCGTGCGGACCGGACCCGGAACAAGATACTGGCCGTGGCGCGCCGTGGCGTCCAAAGGGAAGGGCGACGCGGCCGACACCAAACTCCCGGCGTCCTCGACGGCGTGCTCCAGCGCGGCGCGGCGGCGTGGCGTGGCGGCACCGAGCCTCCGGCCTTTAATTCAAGAGGCGTCAATTCGGAAAGAGGAGCCGGCCGGGATTTACCGCCCCGGCGGCCCGGGCGGCCCGGACGGCCCCCGCCCCATCTACATCGCTACACCGCGCACGCCGAACCCGAACCGCACGACGAATAGCACGGCCGAGCACGGCCTGCCTGCCCGCCTGGCTGCCAGGCCCGCCAGCCCCGCCAGCCCGGCGCTAATCAAGTGGCCGTGCGATCCATCGCGTCGAGCAGCACCAGGAGGGCGTGGAGCTGCCTCCTCATGTCGCGGGCCACATGGGACACGAGGAAGGGGGAGAGAGGGGGGAGGGGGAAGGCAGGCCCCCCCGGCGAAAGAAAGTAGAGGCAGCCTCTGATGGCGACAGGCGACCCCCGCCGTCGGCAATACGGTCACCGAGACGGCCGCAATGCCGCACTTGTTGGCGACCTCGCCGCGCACGTCGGCAAGGTCAAGCAGGGCGGGGCCGGGCGGGGCCGGGCGGGGCGGTTCAGGGCCGTCGGCCGTCGGTCGGTCCGCCGCGCGACACGGGGACGAGATGAAACGAAGCGACGCGAAACGAAGTGAAACGAAGCGAAACGAGCAGCCATAACTCCAGGCACCGCCATCCACGCCGTCCGCGGCGACAGGGCGGCGCGGTGGAGTGGGAGTTGGGAGAGAGGGTCGCAGTCGTCACGCCTTTATGCCAGTTCCCGCTACCCACTTTGGCGGATGAATTAAGAATGTAATATCGTTTCCGTGACTCGGTCCTGCCCTGCCCCGCCTCGCGGCCGACCGCACCCCGCGGCAGCCTTGATTGAACCACCACCGCTGCTGCCTGCTGCCTCCGTCTCCGCCTCGGCCGGTACGGGCCGCCCTTGGGCCCGCCAGAGAGCCAGGGAGTCACAGCGTCGCGGCCAAGAAATAAACAAACTACTCGTGCAACACAAACCCGCCAGCAGCCAGCTATTTACGGGGACGGAAAACACAAACACAATTGTTCGTGTGTCTCTGTGCGCCTCTGTGTGTGTGTCTGTTTGGGTGTGTTTGCGTGTGTGTGTGTTTGCGTGTGTTTGTGTGTGTGGGCCACGTGAAGAGCTTGAGGGGATCCCGGCCCGGAGTGGGCGTGGTGGCGCCGTGGCACCACGGTGGCACACACCGCCAACAGGGTCCTGCTGCGGTCTTGTAGCCGCCTTTGCCACTCCGGCCGCGCCAAAGTTTTGCCGAACGGTTTCAGGTGTTACACCAGCAGCACCCCCAACAACAACAACAACAACAACAACAAGATGCCGAGGGTCCGGCGGCAGCTTGCGGACCGTCGTATAGTAAGCCTCCGGCTTGCTTATGGCCCGCACTTCCGCGCCAGTGTTGCACACCTGAACGCGCGCCCCGCGGCCGGCGGACGGACGGACGGATGGACAGACAGACAGACAGACAGACACCGCACTGCACTCGTCCAATCTCGGTTGGAAGGACGCCGCGCACTGGCGGGCAATGGCGGGAATGCGTAATGCGAGGGAGAGAGAGGGAGAGCCCAATTTTAATGGACGGGAATCTGGGCGCAGTAAAAGAGGACGTGAGGCAGGTGGGGAAGTGGCTGCTCACTCGGCGCCACGCGGCCACGCGCGGCCCGGAGCGGCCAGTTAACAGTGGAGCCAAGAAGAAGAAGAAGAAGAAGAAGAAGAAGAAGAAGAAGAAGAAGAAGAAGAAGAAGAAGAAGAAGAAGAAGAAGAAGAAGCACAACACTTTGATGCCCATAGCAAGACGCCCGAGGCAGTAGACGGTTTTCATGACCCCCGCACCGAGATCGATGCTGCGGCCTGGTTTCCCTACACAGTCCTGCCGGCCGGGCCCCGCCCCGCCCCGTCCGGGCCGGGCCGGGCCGAGACGATCAAACGACCATCGTAAAAGGAGTAGATTCGACTTGATTCGCCGGGCCGGCGGTAAGAGTAAAAAAAAAACAGAAAAAAAAACAAGAAAGAAAAGGGAGGCAGAAAGGTCGCGGCAAGGCGCGCCAAGGGGCGTTGCGCGGAGCTACCTCGCCCCGCCGGAGTTGGCTATCGTGGCGGGATGGGGGGTGAGGAGGGGGAGGGGGCTATGCGAGGCAGATATGACTCGTCAGCAAGACAAACAAGACTCGCTGCAGGTTAGTTGTTCAGAGCGCTGGGTGGATGTGCGTGAAATGAGAAAGTGGAGAGGAGGGAGGCGGAAAGGAAAGGAAGGGGAGGGGGGAGGGGGTCAGTGCCGGGGAAGAAACAAACATAAAACGTCTGAAATATGGGGAAACGTACAGGGAGGCGCACTGCCTACGTGGCGCGCGAGGAGGTCATACTGTGTCCACATTCGCGCATCTCTTTCATCCCTTTTACAAACCGGAAATTGAATCCAAAGACAAAAGGCCGGAAGCGGATACGGGCCCGATACAACTCACATGCCTCGCGTGGGACGCGGCGCGCGGCGATCGTAAATATTCGAAAAACAAGTCGGAGTCGCCGCTCCTTGGGGGCGACCCCGCTGCTAAGCGGAGCCGTGCACTGCGGCCCCCGCGCCCCGCGCCCCGCGCCCCGGCAAGAACAAGCAGCCGTTTCCGCCCCTTTCTCTCTCCGCTGCATAAAGTCATTAAAAGCCCCTAGTCGCGAACTGGGATCGCTGCACTGCGATCCTGCCGCTGCCCGGCCGACCGCCACGGGCACGGCCTGCACGGCCTGCACCACGGCCTGCGCGACGCGGACACCATCATGGCGTCCGTCGAAATGAATTTAGCCGCCGCGACTTGGCCCGGCCCGCCACCACACTGTGCGTCGCAGTGGGCGAATAAACACGCGCCGGCCGAAACAAAAAGCGGGGAGCAGAAAGCGGTGATTCTGTTTGCTCCTGTGTTGCCCAGTGCTGCGCGGCGCGGCCGGCGCGGCGGGCTGATGGGATTTGGCGCGGAGCGTTGCCTGCCACACCTGGCTGCCAGCTCGGCCGGACCGGCCGGCCAGGCAGGCAGGCAGGCATTGTGCACGTCATTAGCACGGCCCGCGGAAAAAGCGCACACAATTTGCGTCGGCCGGCCCGCCAGCTCGCGCCAGTCCGTCAGCGCGGATGGTGTTGGACAGGCGGCCGTCGGCGGCTTGGCGGCCCACCCCCGCGCTCCCTCCAGGCTCCCTCCAGGCTCTCCGGCAGCACGGCCTCCACCGCGGCCTCCACCTGGCGGCCGAGGCCGAGGGCGACGGGGATGACGGCGATCGTGACTGTTGATACAGTGCAGCAGGCTATGCCGAGGGTCGTCGCTCTCTCTCGCACTCGTGGAGCGTCCCGTAAATGTGCGAGAGAGACACAGCAACGAAAACGTCTCCCGGAATCAGTCTGCAGGGTGGCCTTATCGCCGTCCTGCCGCCCCCCACTTCCAGCTCATTTGGTTATTCATTCGCAACCCCTTCCCAGAGTCCGCGCCAGCGGCCCTGGCCCAGCAGCCCAGCTGTCCGTCGGGTGCAGCCTGCCCTGCTGCTCGGCCTGCTCGGCCTTTAACGCGTCGCGCCGTCTGCTGCACCGCTCGCGGCAGCGGACACAGATTCCGACCAGAAAAATAGTCCCCCTTTCCAGGGCACTTCTAAGGAATCCTTTCGCGGCGCCGCGGCGTGGCGCCTCCCAGCGGGGCTCGCCCCGCCCCGCCCCGCCCCGCCCGCCGTGACGGAGTGCATCCATCAATTGATTGAGTGCGGGGATCTGCGTGACACTCGGAGGCTCGCCGTCAACCGGTATCAAGCAAGCCTCGCGAGTTGCCGCCGAACGCGACGCGCGAACCGCCCGGAGCGGAGAGAGGGGAAGCGGCCCTTGATGGATGCCACCACGGCCACGACGCCATGCCCGGCCACGCCGCCGGAGTTGACGCCGCCGGCCGGGCAAGTCGGCCAGGCGCGGGGGACGGCGCGTCGGCCGGCCCTGGTCTGGTTTGCAAGCCAGCCAACCCGTCTGATTTCTTCTGGGCTGAGCGGACCCCGACGCCGGGCCGGGCCCCGGGCCCCCGCCGTGCTCGAGGGGCTGGCCCACCATCAGTTTCTGTTAAGAGACGCTTCAGCCAGCGTCGTGCTTGGACTGGGCCACCCGTCACCCCCCCCCTCCCCCTCCCCCGACCCGGGCATTCAAAGTAACTGCCACTGCTGAGCGGCAACGAAGACGAACGACTGCAATTTATATCGGTAACGGGCGTCGTTTATCGATTGGTTTCGCAATTTTGAAAACCCGCACACACCAGCGCCGCCAGCGCCGACCCCGACCGGGATGGCGGGATGCACCGGCCGCGCCGTTTCTTCTCTCTCTCTCTCTCTCTCTCTCTCTCTTCTCTCTCTCTCTCTCCTCTCTCTCTCTCTCTCTCTCTCTCTGTCGTCCCTTGCTCCTGACCTTCCCCTCTTTCTTCCGCGGTTATGGCCGGGCAAACTAATCGGTTTGACCGGGTTCCAGCGTCTGTGGCGTGGGCAAGCAGGTCAGTGTGCGGCGTGAGTAACTGCTTCTGAAAGAAAGATTTTTACCAGCTCCTCGCTTGGTCATCTAAGATTTTCCAAGTCAAGGCTTTTTGGTTTAGTGGTGCTCCAAGACACACCTTTATATAACCGTCTCGCTAAGAATTACATAGGAAGCAATAAATCGAAATCGCGGTGGATTTCTTTTATTTTTCAATTGAGAAAAAATGTTGGTAATCTCCATTTCCACCCATGACCTCTCCCCTCGCGTTCCAGTTCCAAGCTTTGACATTTGTCGCCTGCAGCCGGACTCGCCGCGTCCATCCCCCTCCCCTACAAGGTGACCCCCCCCCCCTCGCCTCCCCTTTCGCCCTTCCGCCTGTCAGGCCCCTTCGAGAATGTGTTTCCAATCGGCCGTGATTCAATAGCGATGTCCATAATGCCGGGCCGGAGCACGCTTTGTCTCCGCTCCAGGCGAGGGGGGGGGGGGGGGTGCATGGCGGTCCTGGAGTGTGTGGGTGGGCGGGGTGCGAGGGGTGGAGAGGATGTTCCCCGCTGGACGGTAAACGCTGAAAATCCTTCACTGTCCTCCGCGTGCGTGCTGGGCCGGGTTGGGCTGTGCTGGGCTGGGCCATGCTGGGCCATGGTGGGGCTGGGCTGGGCGGCGGAGCGGAAAGATGGGAGGCTTCGCATCGCAATTCCAGTAGCCTTGCAAGATCAGTCCTGGTCAAGTCTAACATGTCTTTTTTGGTTTTTAAATAGTTTTTTTTTGCAAAAACTTATGTTCGAGCCAGTTTGTGATTTTTGGCTCTACGTTTTGCCGTCTACAACAAGTAGCCTACTCTAATGTCCAAGCTGGGTTAAACTCCAGAGAGCCTCAACTAGACCAGAGACTATAAACAGTCCTGTGAGAGGTGACCGAAAAGGGGTCAAAAGTGGGGCCAAAAACAAGGCCTACACGGCCATACGGCCACGGGGCGACAGGGCCAGCGCGCCAGCAGTGCGATCCCGCACATCGCTGTCGTCGCTCTGTCTCTCTCGCACTGGAGGGGCGTCCCGTGTGGGTGCGAGAGAGACAGAGCGACCAAACGCTGCGCGGAATCAGTCTGCAGGGCAAGGGTGCGCGTGTGCTTGGCCGATGTCCAGAGACAGATAGGGGCGGGCAATCGGCGCGGCACGGCGCGGCACGGCACGGCCCACAGTGGTTACTTCATCCCAACGGTTGGCCTTGACCAGCTTGCCCGTGACCTTGGCGACGAAGCAGCAAACGCGAGCCACTTTCATCTGCTGCAGGCCGACCCCGGCCAAGTACTTTCGTCGTCTCGTCTCCCTCCCACTCACGGGGCGTCGGCAGGGTGTGAGAGAGACAGAGCGGCGAAGCACTCGAAGCACTGCTGATGGCACGGCTCGCCGGGGCGTCGGTGCCCACCTTGGCGCCGCTCTTCCTGACAGCATTTCGAATTAAGTTTATATTGCAGACGCGGCGTCGGCGCGTGGCTGCGCCTGGCCGAGGCAGCCGGGCCGTGGCGTGGCCGTGGCGTGGCCATGCATCGCCGTGACTTGCCGACTAATTAAAATTACAACAACGCGACGGAGAGGGGGGGGGGGGAGGCACTCATGCGTAGCTGCCGGAATATTATTAAGTATAACGCGCAGCGACAAAGTTTCGTCGACGCGCGCCTAATGAAGACGACGCCGAAAAGAGGCCGCCGTTTTGACCTCGCCGTCGCGGCAGGCAGCGCGCTCGCTTGCTCCTGCAGACTGGGAGTCGTTCTCGTCGCTCTGTCTCTCTCGCACCTACAAGGGGTGCCCCAAGAGTGCGAGAGGGCGGCGAGAACGACGCTCGGAATCAGTGTGCTGAGTCTCCTTTTGTTCTGCGAGTGCGCAGCGCAGCAGGCCGATGCCGAGAGTCGTTTTCGCCGCTCTCTCTCGGGGCGTTCCGTGTAGGTGCGAGAGAGACAGAGCGGCGAGAACGACCCTCGAGTGTGCGGTGTATGTCGGACAATCGAGTGTCGCAGCCAGACTTCGGCAAGCAGCGCAAGGCAGCGCCGCGGCGTACAGTACCCCTTCCCTTGCCGCCTGGTGCCCGCCGTGCCGCCACTTGGAAACACGCCGCTAAGCTCATAAACAACACCAACAAGACGGGGAGGCAAGGGCGGCACCGTATTAATCCAGCCCGGTGATTTATATTGAAGCTTTCACCGCGCGGCTCGCGGCCCGTCTCGCGGGGCGTCTGGAAGGGCTGGCCGTCTGTCTGCCAGGTGCCACGGGGCAGAGACGGAGTGCTGGCGCTGCACGCGGGGCCGCGCGGGGCAAGCCGCCACCAACAAACAACAACAACAACATGCGCGCGCGGAGGGTCCGCGAACCTTGACGCGCCGCTTGACGCGTTCTTACCGAGGACGAGCAGCAGGCAGAGCGCGGCGACAGGCGCCATCGTCGTCACCCCCTGGCAGCGACGCTCAGCAGTTACCTGCAACACGAGACGCGGCCTGGGTTAGGTCCGGGAAACAAGGCTCAACTGCGTGGCGAGGCGTCACCATCATCATGAACAACATCATCATCACCATCACCATCACTATCACCATCACCATCATCACCATCACCATCATCTTACGGGCGTGAATCCGTACCTACGAGCAAATACCCACTGAAGTGCGTGTGTGTTTGTGCGTGCACACGGCGAATTTCCACTTCCACCTTCAAGGGCGCCAGATACGAGTACCGCGAGCGACTACCCCCCTGCCGGTTCCAGCCCTAGTAATGCTTCGCGCAACACGCAAGCAGCGCAGGCTGGGGAAGGCCGCGCGTGCACCCCCATGCACCAGCCGGTGCACCCGCTGCTCTCTGATGGCCCAATTTGTAACAAAGATCGCCCCGCCCCGCCCCGACTCGGGAAGCGCGTAATAACTGCAGGGTCCATAACGCGTCCCGGCCGTCACCACGCCCTCGCGCGCCTCCTCGCCGGCCCTTTCGGAAACACCGCCCCGCCGGTTGTTGCCACCACTGTAAGGCCCTTCTCACCTGCCGACTGCAGTGTACTTCCTGACACATACTATCGTGGGGCTGCTATAATCTTGTGGAGTACGCGCCAAGTGGCGTTCCCGCCTGCCGCCTTCAGTCAGACAGACAGACAGACAGACAGACAGACAGACAGGCGGTCAGACATACGGACAGACATGCGAGCACGAAACCACGCACTCCGCATGCACACAACACAGCTACTCCGAGTGGCTGTACGGTTATTTAGGCGCCATTCGTACGCACAAGCGCACCCCGCCTCCATGCCGCCTCCATGCCGCGTCCCAAGACGTAAGTAGGCGCGCGTATGGGGCCGGGGGAGGGGTGGGCTCATTTGCACACACACACACACAGTGACGCGCCTTGTATTACAGTTGTTGTTTCTTCTGCGGTACTGTTACGCGCGCTGCCCTGGACGCGACTCATGAGGTGTTCAAGGACGTCGTGCCTGCACGTTACAGTGTTCCGCCACCCACGGACGCGTCTCTCTGTCTCTCCACTCTACAAAAAATGTCCTGTCAACGCCTTTAAATTTTATTCCCAAGTTTGCTGTTATGCAATTCACGGCGTTTGCTGTAAACTGGTTCACGGCGTTCACTGTGATCTCGGTTACAGGTTCACTGTGATCTGGCCACAGTAAACGCCGTAAATTTGGAGCGATTTGCAGTCCTTCGGTGCTCAGCGGCGTCAAACTCACGTGTTTACTGGGGACCAGATCACAGTGAACACCGCGAACAAGCACAGTGAACCCCGTGAGCAGTTCCAGTAAACGCGTGAATTGACCTACAGTAAAAACTGGAAAAATAACGGCATTTACAGGACATTTTTGATAGAGTGTCTCGCACGCACTCTCATTACCGCGAGTGGTAGATGACGAGAAGCCGGCCGAACGATTCAGCTGTCTCCCTCGCACCCTGACGGGGCGCTCCATGAGTGCGACAGAGACAGAGCGACGCAACGACGCTTCTGAATGGCTCGGCAGTCACTCTGGTATGACTGGTCCTCGGGCGGCGCGGCGTTTTCGAAATTCGAGTTTCCAGGAACCCTGCAGGAAAAGTGGCAAGCTCCTGGGAAAACCAGACTCCGTTTTCGGTTCTCGGGGCCGCAAGGCGGGGCGGGCCGCGCCAAGGACCGCGCCGCGAGGGGCGTGGCGTGGCGTGGCGGAGCGTGGCGGGGTGCCTGGGTGACGGCGATGCTGTTGCGAGGGCCAAACTTTCCAGCTAATGTCAGCCCTTAAACCAGCACGTTTCGCACTCGCCCCGCGCCAGAGAGAGAGGCAGAGCTAGAACTCGGCGCGTACCAGTTTCAGGCTAACGCTCCCATTTCCCCACCCACTCAGCCGCGCCACGCCCTGCCCCACCCCGGCTGGCTCTGGCCCCCGCGTGCCCTACAACATACAACCGATCCGGGACTCCCCCGTCTGTCTCTTCTCCGCGCCTTTTTCTGCCTTCTTCACCCTTCGAGGCCGAGGCAGTGAGGCAGTGAGGCAGCCAAGGCAGCCGGGCACGGAGCAGACATGTCTCATCTCGGGCGCTCCACTGTATGCTCCTTCGTTTTTACTTGTTCCATACAATGCGACGCGCCACGAGACCGCGCGCCGCTGGGGGTGAACCGTCAAAGGGCCTCGTGAGTTATCCGTTAAAGCCGTGCGCGCGCTCACACACACACACACACACACACACACACAACACACACACACACACACACGCACACGCACGACTCATTAGACCCCCGCCCCGCGTTCCAGAAGAGAAGCGCTCTCTGTCCAGAGGAAGGCCAGCCGGCCGGCCGGCGTGGCCAAGGTTTGCTCGGCTGAGCCGCGGCGCCGCGGCCCGTCATTGCGGATCGACGTGCCCTTTTCTCCTTTCACATTATCCGCTGCCTGGCTGGAGGCTGGCTGGGGGATGGAGGATGTCTGGAGGCTGACTGGAGGATGGTGGTTGGCTGGCTGGAGGAGGCTGGGGACTGGAGGATAGAGGCTGGAGGCCTGCTTGGCGCGGCGAGGATTTCCAGCGGGATCTCATGAGGGCGCCGGGGCCGGCCGGGGCCGAGGCCTTAAGGCGCGCGGGGTGGCGGGGGGGCGTCCACTAAGCCCTGAAACAACATACCAGGCAACCAAGCGACCGATATTACGAGACCGTTATTTGGACTGGCGGCGCGGCGGCGCCAACCGATTTGCGATCACAGGCGGGGTGCGTCCGAAAGCGGGCGGCCTGCCTTGGGGTCGCGGCGGTGCACGGGCGGTGCGTTCGGACGCGGCCAACCGGCGGAGATCGGCACGAGGGTGGCGCTGCACTGGCTGCACTGGGAGCTGCATTGTGCCGTGGTTCACTGCGGTGCACTCAAAGGACCGCCAGGGCGCTAGCGGTGGCGCCGACGGGGCCACTACACTACCAACACGGAGTCGTCGGCGCGGGGGCGCGCCTCGAGCCTCGCGACGAGCCTCGATTGCGACGAGCCTCGCGAGGCGCGGCCAAACATAGGCTGGCGGCGCAAGGCAGCGTAAGGCGCAAGAAGCCGCGAACAAAAACATGACGACGCCGTGCTGGCCGCGCTGTTGTTGGTGTTGTTGATGGTGGTGGCGCTGGTGAAGGTTCAGGCCGGGTGATGGTGTTTGGCGTTGCCGGTGGTGGTGGTGGCGGCGGTGGCGGTGCCGCTCAGACTCACTCAGGGTGGGGATGGAGGTTCCTGGTTCAATTACGCCCCCTGGCCCTTTGTGCCCTGGCGGCCCTAGCGGCTCGCCGCGGCTTGGTGCTCGCCGACGTCGCCGACCCCTACACCGTACAACGCCACGCCGCGCCACGCCGCGCCACGCCGCGCCACGCTCGCCCTGCACGCGTTATGTGGCAAGCGCCCCGCCCGCCCCGCCGCGCCCCGCCGTGCAGCCATCAGTCCTCGATACCGCCTACACCAATTATTCACGCAAGGTGTGCTCACGTGTGTCGCACACTGGAAGAAAAAAAATCGCTAAGGACCCTTCAAGCATTCGCGAAGTTGATGTGTTTGTTGCGATTTTTTTCTGTACTCAAAATCACGAAACGAAATTTCCTAAATGTTCGACGTTTCTGGGATTTTGGCTGACCGGGTCGGGTGACCGGGCCGCTCCGGCCGCCGCTCGGCTGGTTTAAGGACCGTTGTTTTGCTTTCTGCTCGGGCGGCTCGCCGCTGCGTCCGGGCGATGCCGGGCGATGCCCTGCCCGCGCCGCTGTCATCTCGAATCACCTCGGAAGCATCTGGAAGGCAGCGAGACGCGCGCGCCGCGCCGCCCAGCCGTGTAAGCGTTCCAAATGACCCAGCCGGTATCGCATTAATTTGTCGAGCCACGGCACTGGAAGGACCGCCGGAAGGACTCTCCGCAGTGTACCGGACCGCGGTAAAGCACACGCCGCCTCCCCCTCCCCCGCAGAATCCCTTTTCCCGATTGCTAAATTGCTTGCTTAGTTTCTGTGTGATTGGAATCGCCTGTTGACACAGCTGCCTCGGGGGAGGCGCGCTCAGAGCCACGCTGAGGCTGTATGGCGATCGCGTGAGAGCGTTCAGAGACAAGGAAGATGAAAGGGGGGGGGGGGAGCGAAGCCAGGAAGGCAAACCCGGCCCCTGCAGTCCCACGGGGCAGGGAGGAATCTTTGGAACCTTATTCCGGGTCCGCCGTCCCCGCGGGACACGTGCTTGCAGCGTCTCTCCCTGGGAGTGTGGGACAATGACGGGCCGATGAAGAAAACAGGACGAAAGCAGTGGCGTGGCGCGGAAAATGGATGAGTCCGCGAGAGGAACTGGCGGCCTCGCTCTGTCTCTCTCGCACTCGTGGAGACGAAGGGCGCGAGGGGAGCTGGACCAGAAACCGGCAACTTGAACAGGGGTGCATCGCGGCGTGCGAGCGAATGCAAACCTGCCGACGAGACCCCGCGTGCTCGGGGGACGTCCGCGAGCTCCTCGCGCGTGGGGTAGCGCCACTCCTCGGCGTGCCTAGTGGGCAACTTGTTGTTGGCAAGATGTTGTCTAGAGCAACGAAAAGTTCCAAGGATTTGGTGTGTGGACATGCAGTCCCAGTCAGCAAAACTCGTGACGTGATCGTCCAGCACTGCCCAGGCACCAGTGTTTGGGTGACCTACCGCGGTAGGTTCCTCGGAGAACGTCCCTGGCACGAGCCACATGTTATGAGTGCCAGCGAGAACGTACTCAGCACGTCCCCCTGAGCCTTAGTTCCGTGAGTCACGCTGACAGCGTGCCGCGGGGCACTACCGCGGTACATGCCCTCCGGCAGCCTGACTGCACGTGTGATCCGGGCACTACCTGAACACGTTCCCAGGAACGCTTTATGTTTCTCTTTTGCACGTGCAGAATTTGATCGATGGACGTTCCCCGTCCTTTCAGGCACGTGAATTCACGTACTTTTTCACGGTTTTTGCTGACTGGGCTACGAGATCCTGTGCTGCGTGCGGGGCTGTCTTC